AATATATAGTAACGTATTCCACCATCGAGAGTGCCACCCCATCGAGTGTGCCACTTTTTCTTGGCATCGCGAACTTCATGTACGAAAAGTTAAATTACTCTATACTAGCTATAGATGCGTCGTACGACTNACTTGTATCTGATAAAGAATCTTCTTCTACATCTTTTTAGTACGTACGAGCGTTATGGCCTGTCTCCCTACAGGTCCTATAGCGTCATTAACCTGGCTAGGCCTTTTCTTGACTACCTCTACCACGCGCCTTCTTTGATGTCGTACGACTAGCAGTAGCATTTTTAGCTGCCTACGATGCTCCTGCACCAAAGTCGAGTGTCCTACCTGTCTGTATCCGCTTTCTTTTACGCCCTCGGCGCTTTATTACCTCTACTAATTGCTCTTTAAGCTCTCGTACGCGGGCCTCTATCAGCACATTCTTATGTAATATCTCTTTAGCTTCTTTAATAAGCTTTAAGAAGCTTTCTTGTGTAGTAGTTGGTGATCGTACGAAGGAGTCTTTTATAAGCTTTGACTGTGACCCAAATTCGTACGAATTGCTTGGTGTTTTCGACTGCTAGGGTGTTTCTAGTGGAGCTTCTTGTAGTAGGGTATGAAGGCGTACGTTAAGACGATTAATGACTCTCTGCGCGTTAATAGGGACTAGTCCTGCTGCATTAAAGGCCTTCTTATAGTTGTCGGACGTAAACACGTCGCGAAACGCGTCTTAAAAGGCTAGGAGGAAGCGTTCTTTATTAATATGCTAAACGTAGTAGCGTGCTAAGTCTCGTACGCGTTAAGAGTACTTCTACTTAAGAGGCGAAAAGTAGATAATATTAAGCGGCTAGAGTATATGCGATGAATAAGCAGGTATATAAAGAGTAAGGATCTTCTGTATAAGATAGTAGTCCTTAAATTCTTGGTTTAGGTAGCTCTCATGACTATTAAGAATAAGCAGCCTATATAACCCTACCTAACGCGTCTTCGTATGCTTATTAAAGTGCTTTAACTACGCAAGGCCAAGCTCATTATTCGTCTAGCCGTTCTGTAATACTAAGAGCTTCTAGTCGTATAGTATATCTGCTTCTTCGTACCAAGTAGAGATGTGGACGCGTCCCTTATAGATAATAAATAGCGGGGTAGCATACCCCGCAGCGCAGATGCTCTAAATGACTGTAACCCACTCGCGATTACCTGGCTGCGTGAGAGTAGGCCTCGTACGACGCTCTACGCCTATAACAACCTTTATTAAGCTAATTATACCTATCTAAAAGCCAGTCTCGTTAAAGTTATAGATGTCGTTAGAATATACTCTATACTTCTTAATCGTCTCTTGTACAAGACTAAACCACGCGTTAATAACCTCTAGATCTTCCTGCTGTATTCTTTGGCGGTCCTTTACTTAATTAAAAGCTGTTTTAAGCTCGTCTAAACGCGATACGAATCGCTCTAGCTAGTTCTTACCTAAAGGCTGGCTATCTTGTTCGCGCAGTAGTTTCTCTGCTATATCTGCTACTTTATATAGGTAGGGAGCAAATCCTCGCGAGTCTAGGTTAAGAATATATCGTATGATTGTTTGCTCTTTAGATTTAGTTAGTTTCTGGCGATTTAGCTGCGTTATAGGTCGAAAGGTGATTCCTTAAAGCCGCTAAGAGATCTGCTGGTGATGGACGTTATAGGCTGCTGTAGCGCGTTGAATGCTCTTAAACTAACGTGTACGATAGGCCTAAATAGCTAGAGTAAGCCTACCTTCTCGCTGAGTTAATATCGCGTTCTGTTGTTGAGGCATTATCTTTCGTACGTAAAGTTCGCGATGCCAAGAAAAAGTGGCACACTCGATGGGGTGGCACTCTCGATGGTGGAATACCTACGTATGATGCACGTGTTCTGAACACTAGTAGATCTGAAGAGCGTTGCAGACAAGCAGACCTTGCTTGATTTGATGTCGAGCGCGGACGCCATCATCCAGGCATTCTAACTTCGCTCTTTAAAGTGTAAAGGATTTAGGTTGTATAATCTAGTTAAGACGTCGAGGGAACGTAATAAAAGTATCGTCGATCTTAACCTAAACGCATACGGTCTGGATAGCTATTACGCTAAATGCCTAGGCTTCTAGCAGATTACTAATGCTCTATCTAGTTGTTCTTATGTTTTCGGAAAGGCCTATAGGTTTGATGAGGGTATCAGCGTAATTCCCTCTTTGCCTATTGCCAACATGCTTGCTGGGGCGGTGGGTGTACTCGGTGTGCTCTTAGCACTCCGTGACCGGGCTGCTAAAGGTGGCTCATACAACCCTATTTCTGTCCTAATAGCTGTCAATGCCATCCAACTGGAGGAGTCATTTGGTCTATATTCCCCAGAGACTGTAAAATAAATCCATGACAAATACCAATTCCGACCCATGACACCAGATCTACAAGTAAAAGATCACCTTTACATTATAGCAGAAGCCTGGACGAAACACCTTTCTAATGTACTGCGGCACCATGGTTACATGGCCACCTTTGACGAGACAGTATTTGGAAGAAATCATACCATATCGTCCCCGATCATTCAGTTCGACAAAGGCAACGTCAATCCTCGGCGGACCCATGGCCTTATTGCCTACTGCATGTCAAAATCTGTAACGTGGTCTTGAATAAACTTGAGTCTTTTCACTGACAGGGGTGTGATCGAGACATGAGATTTTTTAAATATGTAACTAATATAAGTTCTTAATTGCACATAGATTGGAATTGTTGGCAATACCCTATTGCAATCGTAATACCTACGGATAAACGTATTTCTTGCAGAATGAAGGCGAGGAGGTCGCATTTGCGATAGGTTGGGATGCCCTCGAGATCCATGAAAGAACCTTTAGCCTGTTTGAGCGCAAACCCCATATATTCAAAGCAAACCACGGTTGTAAGAATCGGCCGGCGATATGGAATCAATCTTCTTCTTACCCTACATAATTCAGACAACAAGATGGCAAAGGAAATCATCCTCTAAGATACAAGGGTAATGCCGGTGATAGAACGGTTCTCATCATGGAATACGACAGTTTTGTTGCTTCTGTCCTCCGCAAACGACTAGATTGTCCCTTCTATATCAGCAACATACCATGTTCTGCTGTTAGTGTCGAAGCATAGTCCTATGGCCTCATTAAAATGTTCAATGAGGACCTCGTGGTTTAATCCGATCGTTAGTGTGAACTTATTAAGGTTACTACATGTACCGGTATTATCTAGCACTATCCTGTTGAATGTGTTACCATATGGAACTTCACCGCGGTCGGTCCAGTAGAGTGTGTTCGTCGAGTCGTTAAAATGAAGGTCGATCGGTTCTGGAAGATGATCCAAAAGAAGCGTTGGCTCTTTGTTGTCGCCTTCAATCGGCGCACAGAATATCCTGCCAGTGCCCGACTTGGAGTAGCCTTTCTGTGTCCAATAAAAGAGACCTTGCAGTAGGAAAATGAGCACTTCCCCATGCGTAATGATGTCTGAGAAGGACTGTCCTCGAAGAGATCTGGACAAGCCAATATCAAGGGCGACAAGAGATTTAGTGACAGACATTGCAATAGAACTTAGAATGATCAACGTTCAACTGGGCTCAGAACAAAGTACTAGAGCAGAGATATTTAAGTAGGACATGGACAAACCTGTGCAGTGGTGATTACGTTTATCGGTGGGAGAAGATGTATTCGGGTCGACCATGTTCCCGAAAGTGACGTTGTGACATCGGGCGATCCCTCGGCCGATACCAATTGAGCGAATCGGAAATGCGCAGATTCGACTAGGTACCTGTTCCCGGACGCTGAATGGTACACGCCACTACTAGCTTCTGGTTAGTACAGCTTTAGTCTAGCAGCCCGTTATGTTGATGAAAGATCTTCGTGCGAGGCAGCAAAGCTGTGCGTAATAAAAATACACTGCTTTATGAGCCGTACCCATGGATTTTAACTCGGCTGAGTTCTTTAGTGCAAAGTAGATCCTATTCAACAAACGCAACGGGAAAGCCAAATAGTGGAAAATTTTTAGGCTAAAGAAGTATTTAACCAAGGCTATGGATCCTTGCGTGGCACAATAACGTGTCGTACATCTTCCTGCTCATTACTACTCTTCTTGTTACCATGGCATATCATCCACCCAATAATTACCGTTCTCGACCAGTTGCAATATTAGGAGCGGGTGCGTTAGGCCGCCGGATTGGTATGGGGTGCCCCTGAAACACCATCAACTCTCCTGCTAAGATAACACAACGTGTACATGAGCTGCCGCAGGCTACAACGTCCACGTCCGTGATCCTAGCCCAGAACAGCGTAGCCAATGTCCGCAGTATGCTGCAGAGTGTGTTTCGACCTACCAGACCATGACTGGATCCAGTGTCACAGGAGAAGTCAAAGTCTTCGAAGAGGTTGAGCCCGCAGTAAGCGAGGCGTGGCTGGTGATCGAGGCTATTCCGGAGAAACTTGACCTCAAAGTCTCAACCTTCGCCCTACTAGAGAGGAGTGCGCCGCAGGATGCTCTGCTTGCCAGTAACTTGTCTTCATACAAATCGTCGGAGATTGTCGTCCAACTCTCTGATTTCGTTAAACAACGGGCTTTCAACATGCATTATTACATGCCACCCGCAAACATGATTGTAGAGCTCATGACGGATCAAGCCACTTTACCAGAGATATTCGAATTCTTATCTACAAGATTAAGGGAAACGGCGGCACAACCGTATATCGCAAGAAAAGAGTCAACTGGATTTATCTTTAATCGGCTGTGGGCTGCTGTTAAGAGAGAGATTCTCATGATCATCTCTGAAGGTGTGAGTGAACCAGAAGAAATTGACAGCATATGGACGGAAGCCTTTATCAATACGAAAATGGCACCGTGCAAAACAATGGATCAGGTGGGCTTGGACACCGTTGCGTTGATTGAAGGTCACTATGTCGCCGAGAGAGGGTTGCCATCATCTCATGTAGATTTCCTCAAAGCTGAGTATCTCGACAAGGGCAAGCTTGGAGACAAGAGCGCTAAAGGAGGGCTCTTTCTGAAGTGATTCTCGTGGTGTAAGAAATGAATAAGTCTACGTCTAATAATGGAATTAAAGTCTAGATATAAGAGGCCAAAGTGTCTGTACTATAAGCTTTAGAGATAACGTGTTGGATAAGCGAGTCGGTCAGGCAAGCGAGTCGGTCACTTCACTAACTTTGTGCACCTCTATAAGCGTGTAGCTCTACCACCATGTAACCATCTTAATATATATTAACATAGGAGGTTAA